TACTTAGTTTTCGCTAAGAAGTCTTAGTTTTAGCTTAGTTTCCTTCTAGGAGTCTTAGTTTTAGCTTAGTTTTCTTATAGAAGCCTTAGTTTTAGCTTAGTTTCCTTCTAGAAGTCTTAGTTTTAGCTTAGTTCTACTTAGTTTTCGCTTAGAAGTCTTAGTTTCCGCTTAGTTTTTGCTTAGAAGCCTTAGTTTCCGCTTAGTTTCCTTCTAGAAGCCTTAGTTTTAGCTTAGTTTCCTTCTAGAAGTCTTAGTTTTAGCTTAGTTTTCTTATAGAAGCCTTAGTTTTAGCTTAGTTATCTCGAGTATATCTCTCTCGGAAATTTTAGCCTTATTTGCAACCTCGTAATAGATCTGTACACTACTCGGACATTTGCAATTACACTAGCAATAAGTCTTCTGCGATGTATGTTCGCTTGCTAAACGCGAAGCCTCCCACGAATTCCAGGGACACAGACGACCGTTACTACTACTAAGATGTTCTGTTTATGCCATAGGACAATAGGCGCTGAACGTGGCCTGCTGCCTGCTGCCAAGTCATATTAGATGGCTGGTTAGCCTGGTAGGTTTGGGTCAGCTGCTAAAGAATTGTGGTTTGGTCCTTTCCCTCGGCTTGTAGGCGTAGATACGCTGCTTGGATCTGTTGTGCTTGTACTGATACGCTTGTCCCAGTGCTATCGCCGCTCGTCACCGATGCTCCGCCGCTGCCTACGCCTTGGGCTGCAACGGCGCTTGATGTTGAAGCCGCAACGACAGCTGGCCTATCTCCAGTTGCGTTATCCTGCATCAGCAGCCTCTATGCCTTGCTTGCACTAATGCTTTCCACTTCCGCCAGCCTCCCGTGGAGCTCTGCAGCAGCCCGCTCCTTCGTTCAACCCTGTGCAAGTAGCTGATTGCGCTTGTTTCTGGCTAGCTGGAGAGCAGATGGGATCTGCTCCTTGACTTGCGTGCGTTGGGTTGACCCAGAAGCTGCCGGCTGAGTAACCGTGTCAGCAGCCCGCTGAGCTGACAAGGGCCTTTCGTTGACATATATTTCTGGCTTCTGATTCTCCCGGCCATGGATGACGAGTGATGTTTCCCTAGTTGGTCGCGCCTGATCAGCGTCGCGCACCCGATATTCCTCATATTTGATAGCAGTTGGAGCTTGTTGAGTACCATTTTGATGGTATCAACAGCGTCTGGAAGTGCTACTTCACCCTCGTATATTGCAGCGAGGACAATGCTGCTGGACTCCGTGAATATTCCTGCCTTTTTTCCCTGGTTGAAGTTGTCAATCACCTGCTGCATCAGAGGTATAACGTTTCGATCGCCAGTCGTAGTCGGGGTCCGTGGGGCTATATGAGCCAGGACGCCACCGCGCGTGGAAATAATAGCTACGGCAGTGCAACCGTTCAGGCCTCCAGTCCAAAGAAATTGGCTCCTAGAGGACCACCTGACCATTTCCACCTTATTCATGGCCACCTCAGTAGCGTCATCTCGGGCTCTGATATGTTGGAGACTAAGTGCCATTGCTTAGAGCATCCGTCAGGGTTTGGCGGCTGTTCTGGTAAGGTGCCCGTAAGCTGGATGAATCCTTTCGCGTACAAATGAAGTGGAGAGGAGGTTTATCGAAGGAAAACATCCTTTAGTATTGAATTGCAGCTCGAGTGGTAACTCTTTACTCATTGAAAGCTTTCACTGCTTGAGACATGGCGGTATAGCAAGTGATTTATATGTTTTGCAGGCAAGACACTTTTGGAAGCAGCCTACAAAGCATTAGCAGAGGCTGTTACAGCGACGTATGCAGTCCATCTAATGCTCCTAAGCGAAGCGTCTTGCGGAACGGACGACTGCAAGTATGCGCTTTACACCAAAATAATACGCGCCTGCTCTTAGCGCGCGCTTGCATCCTGTGGCTAGTAGTGCCACACGCTTCCGTACACTCGCCTAAAGTTCCACCGACTTCCGCAAGCTTCTATGGCTGTGCTCCTAATACATGGATGCGGCGGTCAGTATAATACTGCATACTGGATGGGCCAAACGAGTGAAGCCGCTAAAGCGCTCCCAACTCCAAGGATGGTGAGACGGATATCCGCGTTGGACCCAATTTGATGACTCCACGTCGATTGAGAGGAGTGAGATAGCTTGTGATGAGATGGTGTTCGCGAGATCCCGGAAATTCAGAATATCTTTATGGACGGCAGCGTCGCAGCGAGCATTCATCGGGAGGTGAAAGACGGACCGCGAGTGACGAGTGTAGAGTATTGTATTGTACGTACTGGCTCCCTTCCATCGACTGCTAAGCTCCGCGCGATGATTGAGATCAGACAGGTCAATCGCGTCTTTGTAAAAGGCCGCCTTATCATCCCGCCTCGCGGTAGGCCTTCTTCTTCTTGTCGTATATCACCAAACAAATCTGATCGTATACGATGTTCGTCATCCATGGCTGGGTAATGCGTTTTCCGGCGCCGTGCATGTCCTTCCTCTCGGTTTTCGAAAGCAGGAGTTTCTTATCGAGCTTGATGAACGGGCTATGGATAGGCTAAGCGGGATGGCCGGAGATGACGTCGAAGACGTCCTGAAGGCAGTATTCCCCGTCGTTGGTGATCATGTAGTAGCGAGCTTGAGCTGTGCAATATGTGGCCTTCGGGGTTCTTATTTGATGCGATGGACTGGTTATTCGAACGCCATTCGACCACGGGAGTGATCGTCCAGAAGCTTGTCCGAGCTGATACCGATAATGATGCACGTTTCATAAGTAAGTGAAGGGTGAGGCGTGTATTTTCTTCCATATGATACTACATTCTGAGCAGCGTGCCTGGCGAGTTTTGACTTCCAACACATCAACGACGATGCTTGCGAAGAAGATTTCGCGCATCAACCGTTCAGCTCATTCTGATTCTTCCTTATGCGTCATTTCTCCCATCAACTGGTTCCAAGTCAGGCGCCAATCGTCGTCACTCTCTTTGCTTGAGCTATTACAGGATTGGCTTCGAGTGTCAAGAGTTTGGAACAATGCCAGGGGACAGGCCTCCAGCACTGTAGCAGTGAAATGCCATCAAGTGAGATAGAGAAAGGCTGGTGCTAATAAACGTATCATGCCAGGCCGGCTGTCTCGTCGAGCTCGATTGCGTAAGATACTGGGGTGTCGACTGTCGTAGTGAGAGTCCAGATTCTCTCAAAGACGGCTCGTGAGTCGTGATATGCAAGATCTTATGGATGCACTGAAACTGGTGCGGCGGTCGAAGGAGAAGGGTGATTGGAGAATGCACCTCTAGATAAGAGGTATACATCTAGCGAGAAGTCGAAGGTGGACTTCGATTGCAAGACACTGGAGGGTGAAGAGTCTGGAGTCGTGCTGCTCCCGGATGCAATCTGCAAATGGTTTGCCAAAGAGCCTCTCTAGTGTATGGTGAGACACGCTTCTTCGCAAGACGAAACCTTAAGCATAGCATTAGCATCACGGGTCGACTCAATGATCCAATCCACTGTCGATACACCTCGCCAAGCATGGAATGCGACATTTGCAATGTGCGATGGCTTGACGGGAGTGAATGACATGTGCAAAATGAACGAATGGCCTGTGCGTGGAACGGTACGGCTGCTCGTGGAATTATAAATTCTATTGCAGCGTCACTTCACTTCAGCATCAAACAAAAACATCAACCACCACCAGCGGTGTTTCCACCGCCATTCTTCCACATCAATCAATACTACCACCATCATGTCTGATCCGGCCAGCGCAGCTGTGCCGCTGATCGTGAGACTGTGGCGCTTCAGCGCTATGGCAACGACATGATCACCCAGATCTTGCGCGGACAACTACCTGAGCTCGCTGGTGTAGGAGATGTTGGAGCAAACTCTACATGGGATGAGTACGAGGAGATTGAGAAGACCGACGGGACTCGCGTAACGTACAAGGAGTGGATCGAGGAGGAGCCGCTGGAGGTGGAATCTCGCATCCACACGCAGAGCGAGCGCGTCTCAGCACGGTACGAAGAACTTGTCGGTATGCTGAACGAAGCGCGCTCGCGTATCTTCAAGCCATTCAAAGCAAGAGCTCCCTCCAACGACGTCAAGGAGTACCACGCATGCCTGCCGGCCTCTCTTCGAAACCTGGTATACCGCCTTCGCGAGGAACCATTCCAGCTCACTGCATCGACGACCGCCAACAACATCAACAAAGCCATCGTGGAATTGGATACCTGCTTGAGCGGCATGCGTCTCGAGGTCGCGCGATGGACCAACGCGCTGGAGAGACACGGCATGGGTTTGGAGATAGGGGAAAACAGCATCTTCTGGCTCTCCTTCCTCCACGGGGCCTACAACCTGGAAGCCGAAATCGAAGAGATGCCTGAGCTGATTAGCAAGGCTAGGATGGCTCTTGCAGAGTTGATGGAGTGGGAGGATGAGATCGAAGATCTCAAGAATGGCCGTGGACGCGAGGCATGTTTCAGCCCACCAGGCTACCGCAACGTTTCGGTGTATCAGACACCGGCGGATCACATGGCGGTCGCGGATCACGACAGCATGGGCGCAACCGAAGGACAGTAGGGATCAAGTCTTGACTGTACAAAGGCGGTACCACCGAGGCGGGTGGGATCTTTGGTAGCATCGTCGAGCACAGCGTAGAAGTACTTCATGGAACGAAGTCGTAGACTCGTGGCTCGTAGCGGTCTTGCTCTGCAGTGATTATAATACGATTGCTCTCGTTCAATGCTCGTGCTACTTCCGCCTCAATTTCTCCCACTGCGGCGCGACATTGCTTCTAGGTGCTAAGGGGGACGGTGAAGTAAAGGTGGATAATGCTGCTATCTGTGGGACCGAATGAATAGAAACGGCCTGTACTAATTGTTGTGATGCAGGAGCCGGAGGACATAATGAGATGTCGGCATTATTGCTGATAATAGCATTGTAAGCGTCCCGCGACAGGCCGTCTTTGTCTAATTTGAAGGCTTGACAAAGCGGAGCCACGGACGTCAAAGAATGTCTTCTGGGACGGATAACAGAGTCTTCTTCGGTAATGAACTCGTGCGAGTCGCGCGGAATGCTAATGTCTATGTCTGCGCTGCTAGTGGTATTCGTGATGTTGTTGAAGTTGTGATGAGGTTCTGCGCGCAGACGAATATTCAAGTGCGAACATGAGTCAACTAAGGTGGCCAGTACACATGTGCAAATGCGAATGGGACGTCGCTTGGATGGAGAAGGAACGGGAAAAAGGAGAAAAAGATGCCGCGCATTCTTCTAGCGGCTGTGTAGGCTACAGAACCACGGCGTCTGTCATAGAGCCTCAGTTGATAGTCCACAAACCCCTTCCTCGACTGGCCATACCGACCTGGCGTCTCACTGCTGGATGCGTGGGAAGGTTAGCTCGGGCTAACCTTAAGGGAAGACGGTAGGAGAGTCAGCGGACCTTCGTCTTCGACGGATGGACCGAACTCGTAGAAGCCGCGCTCAGAGCCGGTAAGTCTCACCGGGACCACGTCAGCCATAGACCAGAGCTGTCCAGGGTCTAAGCCGACCATACTCTTCTGCAGCAGTATCAGTTGGGACAGTCAGACGGCGTGGTAAGACAGTACGTACTTAGAACGCGATGCCGGCGTCCAGAAGCTGCATGACCAGCGCGAAGCGAGGGACGAGCTGGTTGTAGATGCTCTAATGCTCCGACGAGAGTGATTTCAGCTTCTGAATGTCCTTAGTGGCGAGGAAAATCCCATGGAACTAAGTGTGACCCGCCTGAGCTGCGTGCGTAAGGTCCTGAACTTCGGGCATGATCTCGTCCACGAGATTGCGGATATCCTCGACCGCGAAACGGCGCTTCTGCTCGCTCGAACAACCCTGACCTTTTCCCATGCTGCGGCACCTGCTCTGCCATTCTCTGCATCCTCCCGTCACCCTTCAGCTCTTCATCAGCCTATCCCCGTCAACCACAGGTCCATTCTCGTATATCCATTGAATCATCTCTCCGATCTTTCTGTCTCCCGACGGCGGTGACCGTCCCGCATACTTGTCAAGCCACACCTTCCATAACGACAAGTTTCCCACCACAAATTGGAAATCTTGTGCACGGGTCAGCGCAACGTTCATTCTCCGTGCGTCACGAACTAATCCGAATGGCGCTCTGCGATCGGGCCAAGCTGCCACCAAGTGTACGACCATGATCTTCTTTTCACGACCCTGGTATTTGTCTACCGTCGAAAGGTCCATCTTATCCGCCGACAGGACGTCGACCTCGCCCAGGCCTTGATCAGCGAGCTTATCTGTCAAGTGCCGAACGTCTGCTTTGTACATCGAGACGATACCGATATCCTTCGGCGTGACCTTAGCTTTCGTGATGAGCTTCGAAATCAGACGGACGACGAAGGCAGCGCCTCCCGGGTTGAATGTGGAGGTACCATGCTGTTCTTGCTGGGACGGGGTCTGAATGTCGACAAAATACTGCCGGCTATCGGCATTGCCACTCTTCTTGATGGCCGCTTGAAATACTGCGGATCGTATCAGCGCCAGAACGTTGCTCGCTAGTGCAGTTTGCACTCGCAGCCGCGCATCACCCATCATCTTCCCCTCGTAGAACAGAGCGCTCGGCAGCTCTATGAGAAGAGGGTGGGCACGGTGATTCTGCCTCAGCTCGACCACTGCAACGTTAGGATATGCTTTGGTGATTCTTAACAGCGGTGACGTGGCAAGCACGTCGGCCCAAGGATTCTGGTCGGCTGTGCGGGACAACAGGACAGGTCCGAGCTGCTTGATATCCCCTGAGAGGATCACTCGTCGCAGCCTTGGGAAGGTGACGACGGGCTCCAAAAAGTCCGGCTCCGTGGCTTGACCAGCCTCGTCCAAGACCAGCACGTCTGCCTGGAATCCAGCCTCGCCCATATCGGACAAGATATCCGTAGAGCCGTGGCATGTACACGCGACTAGCAGGGATTGAGCTAGAATTCGGCTCCGTAGAGCCTTGACGGTGGCTGCAAACGCCTTGCGCGGAACAATGTTTTTGTCCGCGTACGCCTTTAGGTGACCATGCAGCGCAACGCATAACGGTTCCTTCTGGTGCGCTCGGAAATACCTCAGAACGCAGGCCGCCAAGCTTGTGTCTTCCGCGGGCAGGTTGCTGGGCTGCTGGTAGAGTCTGTGGAGCTCATGGAGCCTAGCTCCCTCGCGGGCGCTCGAGGATATACGCACGAGCTTGTCTCGAAGTATCTCCATCTCTGGCAACATGTCTGCCAAAATCTTGTCATGGCCAAATATCGCTTGACAAACCTTGTCCATGAGCGCATCTACGGCTGCATTTGACTGACATACAATGGCCACGCGGTAGCCCATGAGCAGAAGAGTGATGATGATCATCTTCAGTATCGTGGTCTTACCGGTGCCAGGATATCCTTCTATCAAGAAAATGTTGGCCGTTGTGCCGTTCATGGCAAGATCCCACGCGCGCTTCTGATCGTTGTCGAGCCCATACTTGTCTGGAAGCGTCGCCAGCTTTGTCAAGAGCGCTCCCGTCTTGTTGAGGTCGGAGCTGTGAAAGAGGTCGCGGCACAGGGTCCACAGGTTAACGCCCGGCAGCGGAGCAAAATGGTCCGCGATGACATTGACATATTCGAAGTATTCCTTGCGATTCCTAGCGTATTTGAGCCGCACGCTGGTCTTGAGATCGACATCGAGGCGCTGGGCAACCGCATTGACCGTCCGCATCTTGCGACGCGAGTCTTCATCGTGATGCTTCCATAGGACGATGACTGATTGCCGCACTCCGATGCGCAGTAGGTCTTGATTTGCCTGGAGAAACTCGGGCAACTTGGCGACAATCCGGAAGTCGTATCCTCTGGGCGTGAACTGTGGGTACTGAACCTCATCCTTCAGAGTACATTCAATATCCACGTCTTCTGTCTCACGGCCTCGCAACTCTTCTTCAGTCGGGAGCAGAGTGACTTCGACTGTTGTGCCAGGGATGGGGAGGATGCGCGTACCACCGACTGCAGCAGCATCGTCTCCACCGAGCATGATGTTGATGCCGTAGACAATTCCATCAATACGATCTATGGTGGCTCGATGTCGCTTGCTCGTGCTGCACTGTTCCTTCTGCAGCTGTGCGGTGTAATCCCGCTCGTTAAGAAGAGCGCGGAGATAGACACGTTTGAATGAACCCGCCGATCCGAACCGCATTTTTGGAACTGCATTAAGCTCTCTGGTTGCATAGATCGGGTTGTATGCCTCTTTACCACCGTTTGCAGTAGTCAACCATGGCTCTTTCACGAGTCTGCGGTCAGGCTCACTTACCAGCTGGTGATACGTAACGTCGTGACGGTGGAGGAAGAATTCGTCTGTTGATCGCCTCGAGGGCGTACAAGAGCGAGCAGCTACAATGGTTTGGAATCCCTCAAAGGCCCGTCTCTGATAGCTTTGATCGACCGGAAAAAAGCAAATGACAACGCGGCCTCCAAGCTGCCAGCTTATATCGCGAAATTCGGCTTCTGGGGTGGATGTGTCGAAGTCTCCGCCACTTGCAACCGTTTGAATCCGCATCAGATGACGATCCTCCTCGATCCTGAAGCAAATCTTGCCTATTGTCTTGATTCCGTCCATCCGACAGCCAGTCCTTGCTAGGGCTGCCTCAAGATCTCCATCGTGGAATGGCGCCTGCAAATTCCCGGTTTCCATGAAGGAGACATGGTCCAGGTCAATCTCGAAGTCTTCTTCTTTGTATGTTTCCACGAAAGCTTTGCCATCTTTCCCTGATGAGGTCTTTGCCTCATTCTTCCGGTTTTCCTTCTGGTCACCTTGAAGATGATTCTGTCGAGCGTTGATGCCAATGCTTGGGAGCTGTGAGATGTTCTTGAAGCTTATGCGTATCCCACTGTTGCCGGCCAGAGAGCCAAAGTACTGCCATTTGTTGTCCTTCACCTCCACTGCTACGATGGACGGGACACGTTTGGTCTCGCCAACCAAGTCGCTGGAGTGTACTTCGTTGAACCATGATGGCAGGGCAGGTATTCCGTCGTCCTCGTCGTCGCCGCTTGGTGGCGGGGCTTCGAGCTCGCGTTCGACAGCTTCGAGCAGATTGAGGAGGGTATCGTCGCTCAGTTGGGCGTCCGGACCTCGCGCGAGCGACAATGGCCCATTCACGAGCTTGAACCGCGGGTTCGCCATCTCTGCTCAAAAGTTGGAGGTATCGTCTTCTTGGGCGCCGAGGCGCTGTTGTTGGAGGCGCGCGCCAAAGGTACGCGGTCGCGGTCCGGGTATGAGGCGTGTAATTGGAGGAAGGAAGGAAGGAGCGTACGAGGAAACGAGAAAGCGGTTGACTGTGCCGTTGGGGCTTCGGCACGAAGAGAGGATGTCTGGGCTGTGGAGATGCGCATCAAAGGTATATAATGTTAGTCCTTTCGCGTGCTCGTTTCCCTGTATCAGTACATTTGACACACTTAGTGGTTGATGGTGATGTTCAAGAAGAAGCGATTGTGAGTATGACTGACCATGGGAAACAAGAGTACGAACAGTACGCTCGAGAGCACAGGCCAGTTGATTCCTCAGGCAGGCTTTGACGATATTTCACTTGATCAGCCGTTTGGATCGCACCTGAAAGGCGCTAAAGTGCTCGAGTGTGGCGACCTCGTCGGCTCAGAATCTGGATGCGGTGGGGGACCGGTATTCTGCTCGACCGCAAGATGTCAACTGGAGACCGGACGGAATTGTTCGTTCTGTTCGGTCATCCTGTCGCCGTCAATCCGCCTTGTATGGCGAAGCACGTCCTTTCCCAATCGGACTGTCCTACGCCATGGGCACCAGGGCCTTCTCGTCGCGCCAAAAGACGTGAATCGCACTCACCATCTTGCTCCAGTGTGTTCCAACTCGATCGCCGGTACCGACGTCCAGGTCGTGAACAATGCCGTGGCTGTTCGCAAGCTCGTGGTGAGATTTTTTTGTGTTGAGACTGTTGACCTTATCCAACGCGCAAACCCAACCGTAAAGTACTCTTCGGAGTTTCCACCAGGTTGACAATCAGCGAAGCGCATACCGCTATAGACACGATCTACGGCTCTCGAAGCGCCGCGCTTTATTCATGACCCATCTGAAGGCCCACGAGGTCAATTGGCTACCCAGCAAAGCACAGTCGACCCTCTCCCAAGACTACGAACTTTCCTGGCTCACGTATTGTTTGCGACGCAATGAGAATGCGCTTCCTGCCGTCTTCGCCTACTACTTCGTGTCCGATGACAGTGTCGTCAACACGTTTGACAGCTAATATTTCGCCGCTCTACAACCAGTCATGACTTGGGCTGTCTTTCTCCTACTCAATTCTGCGCTTTGGCTGGGTCGCTCCGTTGTGAACCTTAGGGGTCAGGACTTGCGAAGGCTCGTGCTCCTCTCCCGCTATTGTCTCCCACGATCGCCTTTCCTTCCTCGTAAGCTTCTCCATGTCTTCAAGTACCTCACATTCTAGTCATCTCGATGTCGTGCAATGGCGAAGGAGATCGGGCGGGATTCCAACGGGCGCGAAGGTGTCTAGCCTTCTTCGCGAATTCGATGTTCGTCGCTATTCACAGTTTGGCTCTGCTAGCTCACTCAAAGATAGGCAAGGCCGTAGTCGTGGCTTTGTGAGATGTCGAGCCTGATACGTTATCGCGGAAGTGGTGAAAGTTGAAGTTGACAAGCTGAAGTTGAAGTTGAAGTTGGAAGCGGACGTGCGGAGAGTGCGGGAGTGCATTTGCAGCCTGAGGCACTAACACAGACGAACGTCGCTCGATCTCACTGTTTGGATGAGGCACTCGTCTTGAACAACACCGACAACAATAATAGCATCGCCATCTCTACGCTGTGTCCTGGACGACATCATGTCTGCTGGATTCCGAAAGAAAGCTCTCAATTCCCGCGTCGACAAAGAACGACTCCGAGTACGACACCATGCGAATACAACCGGCCTCCTCCTTGGCGGAGTCAACAATCTAGCAAGACTGCCTTCGTGACATGCTGCATCGAATAATCCAGGTCAAACTGGACTCTCCATCCCAAGAAAGACAGGGCCACGCACGATGATGTCGAGACACCACCTTCCCATCCCCGAGATTCGATGTTGCGGAGGAACAGGCGTCAAAACTGGACTCAGCCCCGCTATACGACCTCTCTAACACATATGCAAAATCATTCAGCTACGCATGACGACTGTCTCTGGCTCATGATCTGACGGTCGACCGACTGGGCACTGACTGGAAGGGGTCCTGCTTCCAACTAAAGTCAACCTGGGACTGATATCAGTGGGAAGGTCGTTGACATCGGAGATCTTGGTGGAACAAGAGCCTGAGATGGGGTCTTCTTCCAAGCTGCATATAACATCGTCTTTGATCTCGTCGTATGACCACATATTGGACGATCACGAGGATGGATGTGTCCGAGGATTTACCTCGAAGCAGTCGGGCACTCGACAATTCATTGTCGGACAACCAGACAGCCATGGCGCAGCAATCATGCTGTCTTGGACCCATAATGAATCGCGGACTGGATTCTCGCGCTCCAAACTCGGTCGTCTCGCCCGCTAGGCAGCAGATGCTGATCCATCTTGGGAAATCGTCAGAGCAAGAAGCAGGCGTATACAAGCGAGATCTACCCCAAGAGTTACAGGAGAACCAAATACTCACAGCAGTCGAACAGGCTGCACCGGGTAACTGCAATATGAATGCGAGCGGTCTCTCAGGAGAGGGGATATGACCACATCACAGGCCAACAGTGCCTGCGTGGGTGGATGCAATACGAAGGCGACCAGTCTCTCGGAAGAGGAGCGACGACCACATCGCAGGCCAACAGCACCTGCTGAGGAAGACAACGGCTCGATCCTGTCGAACGCATCGTTAATACTCGTAGTTGCCGTTCGGGAACCGCGAATGAGCGTTCCGGAGCTCGTCCGGAGACAACGTCTGGATTTGAATTGCATCAGATGAGCAGCAATGGCAATCAGGAAACTTCCACGAGTTGATTTGGTACAGCCAGGTCGCTTAGATATTGTCGAGATTTGGGGGATGCTCCGTTTGCTTGTCGGAATCACTCCTTCGGCAAATAAGAAGGTTTGAACACCTGAGCATTATCTTCTCGTACGACGAGATGTTCATCTGGTCATACCAGCAAGTGCACATAAGACTCCCCCCGTTAGTGATCCTGGCGGGGCGCCTGTCCTTTCTCTGTGGACTAGACATGGTCTGACGGGAAACGTAGCTGCTCGATCTCGTTACTCTTAGGCCAGGCTTCACCTATTAAGCATTCATGGGAGATTATGATGCTGTATGAAGGTGAATCACTGACTGCCCACGAGAGCATAACAGTCCCTGCTTTCTCCAGCATGCCGCGCGCGAAGCACGTGGCCTCGTCACTTTCAAACAACGGAATGTGAGCTTAACAAGAGCTCGAGATGTCTTCCAAACGACGATTCTTGCAAGAAGGGGTCCACATTCCCCAAACAAGTCGATGCAGGGAGCTGTTACCCGGCCTCGATATGATCGTCGGATGTCCCGCGGATGGACCTCCCGCTGGCGTGCTCTGGCTCCAGTCTATTGACAGCCATATGTTCTTGTTGGGGCTGAGTCAGACGCTGCTAACGTCAGGTAACATTCATCACTGGGAGGCTAGCGGTGCGTGGTCATCTTCCCCTGAAGAGCTGTCTTTCACCGACGGCACCGGCATATCATACATCCGCATCGTCATGGGCAGTGTTCAAATTGCCGTTCAGGAAGGCTCAGGTCCAGGTTGGCATTCGGAATAGCCTCTTCGGCGCTCACTGAGTTCGGGGAGTGCGTCTGCTTGGATATCCAGAATGCAGCACTTCATCCTAAAGTCAAGGCCTGTGGTGATAGCATCAGCGGCTAAGACTGGAGCTGCGGGGCTGGCAAAGAAGTCATGCCAGTTGACGATACGGCGGCGGACAAGACTGAATCGTCGTGTCAGGCTCGCTTGTCGCTGCATCTGTATCTGATGCTGAGAGATGAAAACTCAAAAGCTGCTCAGAACCGCCTGAGCCGACACAACGATATAGGGTTCCGTTGGAGGCAACCCGCGACTTCCTGATACGGTTTCGACGCCCAGTTCGCGAATCTACTTTGGCTTCGAATATCAGGTCCAGCCTCCAGATCCAGCCTCCAGATTCAAAAAGGTCCACGCGGTCAACGCAGCGTTAATTCTTCTCTACGAGAGGGCAAGTCTTGATCAGAGCAACCGAAGCCCTCTGATTCGAGATAGGCTGATGCCCTTCGACTCTCCAACGACCATCAGCTGCTGGCGCATACCGGAGGTGTCTATTTCAATAAGCCCCTGGTCATCACTCTGGCCCATGTCGGGATCATGTCGGACTGACCTGGCATCTGCATAATGTGGCTCGCCAGTTCTGCAGCTTTGAAGATCCTTTGAAGGAGTGCTCACACATCGTCGACGCCGCGCAAGCAGCAAGCTGGAGCGGCCCAGTTCAGTGCCACCTGCTAGCTCTGTGCGGGATATTTGGCGTCCGGCAATGGACAAGCGGCAGAAACATGCCGTCTCTGCTGGTCACAATACTTCCAGAAAGTGAAATGGGATGTCTTGCTTCCGTCAGCAACTGCCAATGAGTCGCAGACGAGTCCATCTTCTCAGGATTGTCCGGTACGTCAGACGTACACACTATTACCAGCTGATTCAGAGCTGTTACAAAAAGGAGAATCATTGGAAGCTGCTCGCTCTCGCATTATCCACATTGCAGCGTCATCTGAAGCGAGGCCATATGCAAGTGAACGCAGATGGTGTACACAGACTACTGAAAAGCTCGGGACACCTTTGGTCGGCGTCTGCGCCGAATCTTGCAGAGATATCTGCCAATTCCACTCGCAGTCAGCATCACCAAGAGGAGAGACACATTTGAATCCAGATGTAGTCCCAGTCTCCTTTCCAAAGGCTGCTCGGAGAGAAGTCGTCCCTCTCGAACATGCAAAGCATCTCCTGCGGCTCCCATAAAGGCACTTTCAACGTTGTCACATCGATCTCCCAGCCTATTTTGGGCGTGATACAACGAATTCCTGCGGAGTGGCCTACCGTAAAGGCCGTCATCCTGTATTGAAGAACTTTCCCCAGGAGAGGATGGCTGGAAACAAGGGACACTGCACTTCTAGTACTCTGCCCTACGGACTGGTATCGAGGATGCACTATTGCTGCCCAAGCCTCGCCGCCTTGACGGATTACTTTTATGTTCTTCCCATTCAGCCGAGCTTGGACCCCGGAGCTCGGACCGTTTAGGCTGGATTTAAAGTTGAGCTAAGCGCAGATGACATGTGATTGCTATTGATGCACAAGTTACCTCACCATTTGAATAGCATTCACCCTCATCTGAAGCAACATGAATCGCTTTATGTAACTCAAGTCTGTATCCGCGGCTTGTGGTTGGTCGATGCATGGATACGCAGCGCCTTCGGACCCAATGTTCATTGTTCTGATATTCAGATTATTGTTGCTACGACAAACGTAACCAGGCAGCGACAGCAGAGTTTTCGCGTCCGAGCTCCTTTTGACGTATTCTCGGAGACGAGCGGCCGCCATCTGCTGCTCTATAAAGCCTGCTCACTTCTCGCACTTCTACCACCGACTTGTCACCACCTTCGACTTTTCCCGAGTTGACCACAACACCCATCCTCCCTCACCAATTCATACACATCCATCCTCACCAACACTTTCCGAATCGGTGTCATCATGGCGCCCAAGACCGAGGAGGAGAACACCACCCGCGAGGTATGTACGGCTGCCAAGACAATTACTCGAGCACTGGACTAACATTCTCAAAACAGGCGACTTCACCCCACGACATACCAGAGGATATCATCGCTGCACTCGTTGGATTGGGCCACCCAGCGGGTTCCGTCGACAAGCGCACTGCCACCGCGGCTGCAGAGACAGCCAAGAACGGCGCCTCACTCCAGGAGCAGTCCGAGTTGATGGGCTATGCCAAACTCGTCTTCGACTTTCTGGGAAAGGTGGGCGAGCAGTCGTTCGAGTACACTCCTTCCACCAACGAATACCCAGCGTATGGTCGGCTGATGGCCTACCCTTGGGCGACGTCCTCTGCACACAACACGCCTGCCCATCCTCAGGCTCCATCCTCCGGCGCCGCACCACCAGGTCCATCACAGCCTCAGGGTGCATCCAATGCGTCCACCTCTTCGAAGGATGCCTCCGCCCATCAGCATCAGACCGGTCCCGCCAACAACATGACAGCTTCGGCAGCTTGCCCACCGCTTGCGGATCGAATTGCGCAGGTACTTCAGGATGCATCCAGTAAGTTGTTGACGTTTTTGACCATTGGAAATACTGAATTGACCGTCTATTCTTAGTGCATCTTGGCGAAGCAGCCAGCATTCTCCGTGACGTGGAAGATGGCATGGTTGAGCGGACGCTTGCCGGAGCACCGGAAATGCTAGCCTTGGTGCAGCAGCAAGAGTTTAACGTCACCAGCCTCGCCCAATTTGATCAGTTCGTCCAAGTAGTCGGCGACATTATCGTTGATCTGCAGGCGAGAATGGAGAGATCGCGCAACGTCCCAGAGTCCGAGAAGCAGCCTGATGTCGCGCTCGCCGATGAATGTATCGCACATTTCCAGCGGGTGTATCAGACCGTCTTGGATGAGACCGAACGCGTGATGAAGAAGCTCGAGGCAGGTCTGGACTCGTTGCGGAGCTTGGAATTCGAACTACAGGTTGCGAAGGCGGAAGAGCGAGCGAAGAAAGAGGCTGAGCGTCAGGTCACAAAGGCGGCGCGGGAGGCTGAGAGAGAGCCTGAGCTCTGAGCGGCCTTCTTCGGCCCGTCCATCTCTGACTACGATAGTGATGATGAGCCGTAGGGGGACGCTCGCCTGCCCCGACAACTGGTCACTACGGTCGATTGCCTACCAAGGCAGCACTTTCAACTTTGCATTTCTTTTGGCTGCTGAGCCTTGGCCGCATTGGGGAGTTGAAGTATCAGACAGCATGAAAGTACTGAGATAGCAAGTTGAACAAGAACGTCCAAGACGATGATTACAGACATCAGCCTTCAGACCCACAAGACCTTCGAGGGCAACTGGTTGAGAAAGATCACAGCTAGCAATGTCAAACACGATCATTCCAACGACCGTCCTGCATCCAAACTACGACCGCGAGGCAGCATTGCTTGGTGTGGCGGAGCACACGGCCGTATGCGGCATCAAGAGCAGCTTGCTCCAGAGGAACGGCAGGACAGTCGCAGAGATTATGCAGAAAGCGGTGCGAGAGCAATTTATTCGCGACTGGAATGCTCTCAAGAAAGCGTACAGAACTGAGTGATGCACCTCCGGAGGGTAGCAGGGAGGGTCAACTTCCTGGAACGCGACCAATATACTATGGACCAGTCACCGAGGAGTAGAATATCGTACAGGTATCTATACAGCCATGCATCAGCCATGCATCAATATCGCAGCTCGCGAAAGCCATCCCATGCCCAATTCAATACTGTATAGTCTAGACACTGGAGCTCTCTCCCAAGCTCCAGAGCACACCTTCGTAAACGCCAAACATGATAGCCGCACTGGGCACGACTCTCAACATATGCGGTACCAGACCTCCATACAAACTCGGCATTCCTTCTTCCCGGAAAACTGTCACAAAGCAGCTCCAGAGGCCGGTGTACTTGACTCTGCCGGTGGCATCCACAGGTGCTTGCCGTAACCTGGTCCGAACGACTTCGTGCGGATATGTGATGAGTGCAGCGACGAACTTGGCACCTCCCGCGGCTGTGAGCTTGCCCGTCCACTCGACAGTTTTGTCCCACGCGTTGGGTGTCCGGCCGGATTGTTCGAGGAGCATCTGTCTCCGCGCGAGACTCCGCTTGGCTTGCTCATACAGCATCCACTGTAGAGTACTCTCGCTTACGCCTAAGTAGGATGCCGTCAGGCCGCGATACAATCCTTTGATGCCCTCATGTCTAACAGTCTTCACCACGCAATCCCAGGCATTCTTGTATTGCCTTCCCACACCTCCTGCACCAGCATGCTGCTTGTCTAGCTGCAAACGAGTCTTGACCAGCCATATAGGATTCGTTGCAGTCCCCGTAAGAACTCCCGCAGTCGCCGCTGCCATCAGATGAACACCTGCGCTCTCCTTTCCGTCGAAGAACAGATTCGAATACACCCTCTTTCCATTCCCGTATGCCCAAAAGTTGATAGCGCGGGCGGGCACCACACCGACCAAATTCGGCCCAAGGCCTTTGAAGAGCGCTCTCCATCCTTCCACCTTTGGTATCTGCGCAAGGATCTGGCCCGTCTCTGTGATGTGTAACCAACTCGCTCTTAGCAATCCCATGGTATGCGGTGGCGGTATTCCTTTCTGCGCCCGGATGGCTGCCAATTGGTCTTGATAGAATGTGCTCTGGAGACGAGTCTTAAGAACATCCAGTGGTGAGGTGAGAGTGGCGGCGGTCATGCCTCCCAGCCCGCCCGCCACGAAATGTGCCCATGGTCTGCGCTCTTTGATGCTCTGGCCTGCAGGCGGTGTCGTTATCTGGGCTGGATCATCGCGGAGAGATGTGGCGGTGTTGGGCTGTATCTGTCCCAGTTCTCGGCTCTGTGTGAAGGATGAGGTGGTGGTGCTGCCTGGCGCAGGCGCAGAGGTGGAGGGTGGTGCTAAGACCATGCGAATGGTCGTGAAGTTGTGCTTGGAGACGAGGTGGGAGTCGGTCGGTTTATGCGCGTATCATCTGATGAAGGCTGTATGCTTGAGATGTCGTCGATTGTATTGGTGCTTCGGAGGCGTGTGGTGGTTCTGCGATGATGTCGAAGTAAGAATTGCATCTGCACAATCGAGAAAGTCATGTATCGGGGGTTTGAGTACACTCGGGCCAATCAAAGGCTTCCGTCGCCGCGGTGGTCTTCCGACGTCACCATCAACAGTCCATCACACACACCTCGTAATAGGTAAGCTTCCACAATTCATTCACCACTCTCTCGCGACAAGGAATCAACAACTCCCGCAATGTTCGCATCCCCCGTTCGTCTGGCGTCGGGCCAGCCGGGCTTCTGGAGGCGCTCTCTCGACGAATTCCGCCGCCAAGCGAACATCGCCGTCAAAATGGAGGGCATCCACCGTCCCACGAAACCCTTTCCTCTCGTCAAGTTCGATGCAGAGAATGCAATAGATCGATGCAAAGTCATGAGCGACGAAGATATGGGAGGATTCTCAAGAGCCAGCCTGACATACGTCTCCGGCGAAAGCCATATGGAGCAGGGGGAGACGGCAAGGAATTCGGAAGAGGAGCAGGCCCTTGCCATTGCAGGCGAGCCGGCACATGCGCTCTTCAAAGGGTCGATAAGTACAGAGCTGCCGCCCAACAAACCACACATCCAGCGATCAGGCTATGCAGCATGGCGGACACGGGATCGCGGCCTTTCACTGTTTGGAAAACTCCTCTGGGACATTGACCCATATGCCTATCTCGCCCTGCGCATCAAATCAGACGGAAGGAAGTACTTTGTAAACATACAGACTGAATCGATTGTGCCGACCGATCTGCACCAACACTTACTCCCCACCACTTCTTTCGGGGAATGGGAGACTGTCACAATACCGTTCAGAGCCTTCGTCAGGACGAATTACGGAATGGTCGTGGAGCCACAGAAGGAGATGATGAGGCAGAAAGTCAGGAGTGTCGGGATTGGACTGATAGATCGGGTCCCCGGACCTTTCGAGTTGAGGATAGCCGACATTTACGCCACTAACAGGCCACCGAGGAGAGCGATGGGTAGAGAGGACACTGGCTTTGATCTCGCGGAAGCCGAAAAGGAACATGAGCAGGAAGAGGGGCATGGCATGATGGATGAGATCGAACCGCGGAGGAAGAAGGGTGAGCCGGAGAGGATATTGATATGAGCCGTGGGGACGAGAACTGGCAGGGAAAACCCCGACCATGCGCGCTTCGAGGGACAGACCTATCTCCACGCACCAGGCTTACTATTTGCGTCTGGAGCACTACCTGACGACGTGGGGTCCATTGACTTTATAGCGTCATTGTGGCCTAGAGACCGAAATGTACAGCCTTCGGAGACGCCGTCATCTCATCTTCACCAACTCCAAAGCTCGTACGTATCTGTCCAAGGTCGCACCAAGGCTCCAGAGCGAGCATCAGAGCCATTTGGTGTAAAGTCTTTCGCCGACCCATGAAGCGGGACGAACGGGAGATCGCGCAGTTCGTGCATCGCTGCCAAAAGACGGCGGAAACGTTTCCGCAGGCGGCCCCGGAGCCTTCATATGCGCCAGGACGATTCTCCGAAAACGGTGCAAGCGCAGATGGGCTTGCCTTTTCAGCACCGGCCCCTTCATTGGCCGTCTGAAGTGGTTGCGAATTGACAGCTGCTATCAGATGTTGAGATCATACGAACAACACTGCAAGATGCATACTCACCGGAGCGGTTTGAAACGGGTGCGAAAGCTCGTCTGCTGCTTTTGTCAAGGCAAGCTACTGTGTAAGTTGAGCGTTGACGTGGAATCTGCGCTGAGACGGGCGAGCCTCATTCCCAATGACATGCGGGCTCTTTCAAATCAAAATGCTTCTTCTCCAACAGCGAAACTCTGATCCTCGACATCTCCAACATCTCAAGCCTTACAGATCTGCAAGCCGACCAGCCAGTCTACTCATCGCACAACGAAGATACGCTACAGCATGATCTCCTTCACGCACGGATACACGAAGAAATCATAGTCTAACATCTGTTCCTGCGATGATCGAAAAAGCGGCATGTGATCGGCTGTCAAATGCTCTAGTTCGTGCCAAGGCGGAGCGGTCGCTGACAGCTCGTACTGTTGGTAAGCTCCCTGCATCCTTTAGCGTGCGTGCTACACTAACTCTCGGCGTGCCAGGTAACTGGAACGGGACAAACAACACGACTGTCCTGTCTTGACGATGTTCTCGGTGGGGGACGCGATGAGTCGCAAAATGTAGGCCGATCGGTCAGCAGCATAGTGGCGTCAACCATTTGTTGCTCCTCGGCCGGTCCCAGGGAGCATTGGAACCAGCATCTGACGGCACACGGCGCCTGTTGTATGGCTGAGCCATCGATTCCAAAAACGCACCGCCCAAGATCTCAGCGCATAAACAGGCTGGATCGACTGCTGATCGTGCGTTCTCGCCCGACACGAGGTTCTTTCCCGAGCTCGCTTTCATCGCTGCAACTCATTCACAAGATTGGACATCTGAACTAGCAATCTGGACCGCAGCAGGGATTGAGGCCGAAGTGGCGGCCATAAGCCGGCTTACGAGCGGGTTTGGTCTCAAATCCAACGTCGCATTCACTAATCTGCGGGAGGCTTGGCGATTAGTTATCAAGGGGTAAATGGTCGTATCCGCCGTCAACTCCTGTCAACTCCTACCTACAAAAGTCCCAAACACCGTCGCAAGAACATACCAACAAAGATGCGCCTTACTGCATATATCACGGCTCTTATCGGGCTCATTGGCTTCGCAGCCGCCGGTAAGCTCTTCTTCGATTCGAGAGAAACATCCCTAATAACTGCCTCTCCTATCTAGACGTCGGCTGCATTCCAGGCTACTGCGAATGTCTCTACCCATGTCGCGATGAAAAATGCACGACTAGTTGCTACAGGGGCTTCTGCGCGGACACTTTTCCTACCGGGTCTGAACCTCCTACCTGCTCGCCCATAGCCTAGGATTTGCGAGAATAGAGAGAAAGATGGGGTGAAGAACGCTAGGCTGTCTGTTAGGGATAATACGATAATACGATATCTTCTGAGAGCAATCAACAGTGTCCAGTCTCGGCCAAGAGCCACTTCTCACGCAGCAGACGTAGCTCGTGATTCTCAGTCCTGACCAGCTTCTCCTCTATAGCCACTCTTATGCCGTCCTCCCCCAGAGCCTGTGGGAAGTTAGCGATCCTGAGAGACCAACCCGTTTGACCGGCTTTGGCAGCGCAAAGAGGCAAGTCGAACGGAGAATCCGCAGCATGTGCCCACATTCTGAGTGCAAGTCGTTGGTGCGGGATGTACGTGGATTCCCCAGCTGCATGGAAGAACTCCCACCTTCTCGTGGTCTTCCGGGGATGCATACACAACCGGCCTGCGTGAAGAGAATGAGGAAGTTCTACGGCTATGAGGCTTGGAATCCTTCAGCGGTCGTTTAGTAAGAGGATAGACTTTGCTGGCCTAAGCTTTGCTGTCCGCTGCTTTGAAATATCGAAGCGGAGACGGCTTTTCTCGAGTAGATATGCCTGCAGTCCTCCATCCCATGAGCTTCGAGCCGGAGAATCGCATCCAGCTGGCCGTGGTCATGGAAGGGATCAAGAAAGATACCAAGAAGTCAGGCCCCGAATACAACTTGGAGACCAAAGCCTCCTCCTTCGAACTCCTGAATCCGGAGAAATGGGTTCCCAAGAATGAGATACCAGCCCGCGGAAGAGTCATGTGGCAACTGGAACAACTCAGCAAAAACCTTATCGAGGTCTTCTGCGCCTCCGACTTTCTTCTGCTCCGCTCTTGGACTACGTAGCCCCGAGTTTCCAGGCGTATCTTGACTACAAAGGCGCCACTACAGCGGCGATACTGTGAGGAGTCTGGAGGAACATATCGAGTTCCACAAACCGTTCACAGGATGTACCGGTTTTGTCCAGAGTCTGAGTATGAAGTTCGCACCGTTTCTGCCGATATTGACGAGACCAAAGGACTGGCTTCCGTCTAGGCCACACTAGGAGTAACAGGTCATCCTCGTGGGGTCCAGCGCGAGAGTGTCGCCCTCTTCTGGTGGCGGAGGAGAGCGAAAGACTGGCGAGTGTACAAGCAGTTTGGTGTCCGTGGCGTGCGCTGGTTTGGGAGTACAAATGACTGAGTGCTGCGGGCTTTCGTCCGCTCCGATGACTGGGCCTGGATCTTCTTCACTCCCTTCGAGATGCTGAAACGTGGAGGATCGGGAAACATGCTTTCGGGTTTCCAAGGAATTCTGGCGCGTCACGTTCTTCACATCTGGAACACTTCTCGGCCATCCCACTTGTCACGAAGACATGGTAGTGGGTACGAGCGGGGATGAAAAGTAGGAGGAGTGTCTTTAGGTCAGGAAGCTGGAGAAGATGTGTGCTTCTTGAAGGCTTTGGCGGAGCCTTGGCAGGCTCTCCGTTGTCTATGAAATTCAGAAACTGTAGGAAACCTCCAACCGATCTGCAACGCCTAAACCTGCCCTCTATAAACTCCTTGTCTATACACCGACATCAGCCGGCGGTCCAGCCTGTCCAGTTTGCTGTCTGGAAGAACCGCCCCGTGCTATCTGCTGCTGCCCACCTGCCTCTGAACGACAGGGTAGATCTTGAATCCGGTACCTACAAAGTCGTCAGATCACGTTCTGCGGGAAATCGAAGCTCGAGTTGCGGATCCTTACCAAAGGTTGGGCAGGTCTGCATCATACTAAACATTGATCCCTTGCTGTTCATCCCCAGGCGGTCAAGTTGGAGGATCCGAATGGAGAACGTTCACTGTTGCTGGATTCGGAAAGTCTTGCAAACCTCAGGCCTCTCTGTTGAGCTTGAGTGGTATTGACTGCTCCAGGTGCACGTTTGGAGATGGGGCTGTCTTGGTCCTCATCCTCGTGAGCATCATCACGGTCGGCTCGTGTGCCATGCGGCGTGCCACGTTCACGGGATCGCTTCTGCCCTCTAGAAGATCCACCTCGCTGCTGACCTGGCCTTGAGCCGGATGCACTGCTTGATCCAGGGACTCCAACTCGAACTCCAGAAGCAGTTCCTGGTTCGCCTACGATCTTGTACCAAATAGAAGGCGTACCAAAATTATCCGACCACATCAGAGCGTCAGAAATCGTGAACCATCCCAGGTTGGGCCGATGGTCATAGATAGCATGGGCTACAACTTCACCATCGCGTGTGCCGAGTAGAGCATCGAATCCCTCCTGTCCGGGTTCGAACTTGTTGCCGGGAAAGGCAACTTGCTTCGGGATTTTCAGCTTCTTCTTCAGCTGGTTGATAATGCCAGAGGACCCGCCGTCGATGACACCGCACTGCAGGAATGATTGCAGGTAATTGTCTTTTGCTTTCTCTGGATCTGTGAGGTAGAGTTTATGGTAGGTCAACATCGCAACATCGGACCACTTCGTTAGCTTAGGGCCGGGCTGGCCCCGTCTGATGGATGGACTAGTACCCTCAAGAGAGATTATGATTCCCGGGCCATAGTAGTTCTTATATTCAGTCCCAGTCGGCGGCCATTGCTTGCCATCCATCATGTACGGCCTGTCCTGTATGTAGTGTGAGACGTACATGTCGTCTATCGACATGAATCCGTGTCCAGCTCTGAGCACCGGACGGACACACTGCTCGAGTTCAACTTCGTGAGGTATTGTCAGGTATTGAGTCCATCCAGACTCGGCGAATTGCCGATCTGCATTGTCCCACCTGGTAAGGACACCTGCTTGGCCGGGTTGACTGAGGGCGTTGTACAGCGCCTGACCTCTCACCCGAGCGCTCTCATATGCTGTTTCGGGAGACCGCTTCATGGCGTATGCTGAAGTTGGGCTAAGGACGGCATTTCCGAGACTAGCATTGGCAGCCGTGTCGCTGAAAGGAATTGCTGATGCTCGCGCCGTGGTAGCCAGTGCTACTGCGGAGGGTAGGATGTGCTTTGGAACAAGCATGGCCTGAGTCAGGTGTAGTGACTGATATACTTAAGAGTCCACTGGAAGGATGGCGGAGTCTTTCGTGTTCGACGCAGCTTCTGGTACAATTGCACACTGTACTGTGCAATGAGTTGCCAAGGTTGACACATTGTGCAGGTCCAAGAGATATTTAAACTAAGAGGGCACCTCCGACAGCAATGCAGACAGCGCATAGCTCGCGTGATAGTTCCGTCGACGACGACAAAGCAGGAGCATGATACCTTGCTCACGCACAGACGAGCGGCCAACAAAGCATGAAGCGTGGTCGAACAGACAAATAACTGCACTGAAGTACTGCAAGCTCGAGAGCAGCGGGTCGGAAATCCGCAGAACGCATTCGGTAGCACAAGACCTCAGAAGAACTTGGAAGTGTTGAGTGACGACATGTGTGCATCGGTCGAGCCAATACGATTCTGTAGGATTCGCTGTAACATGCCAGCGACTTGCAGACGAGGTTGATCGTGTGAGAATGTCATTGATTGTCAAGCATAGCAGAACGGTTGTGATTGCTCTGCACGTGGCCTGGGTATCAAACGAAAGCGCACACACTTCGAAGCATGATCAAGAAGTTCAGTGCGACCCTACGCAGCTGGGCGAAGCATCGTCGTATTCTCACGTCATATGTCACCAATTGGTAGGCCTGACATTGATCTCGTTGTATCCGATTGTTGAAGGACAGCGCGTCAGGGACTTTCGTGGATAATGACGAGCCAGCAAATGACCACAGCTTTGCCGCTTGCTACAGCGATGAGTGGATCATCAGAATTGGGAGCATGTAGGTATCAGATGTTCACTCAGCGTGAGTAGCAGATTGCAGTGACGCATTGGTCTTGGGTTCATCGATTGGTTGGGGCAAGGTCATTGCATTGCACGAGGGAAAGGCTCCGCCAAATTTGGAGCTCCAGAGACAGAGTGATATTGCTTGGCGGCCGAGATCCAGGGCGTCTCATGGGGAGGGTTGACTCGAGCAATAATCCCACACTCGTTGCATCAATCAAGTCGCCGTCGAACTTGACGGAGAAAGCTTATGAAGATTGGTATCCAGAAGATGGTAAGACGATTCCGATCCGCGAGCGAAGAGCTCATTCATCTCTCTCCCCATTCCCCTGCAGACCCCTCTCCGCTTTCTTCAACACTTTTCGTAGCTTGCGAATCTGCACTTCGGCATCTCGTAGACCACGGGCGGCGTTGACAGCCTTTGCGACGCCACACTCATCCCCGATAGCGGACGAGAAAGATTTCTGGGCGGAGCGCAAAGTGGGTGGTACCAGAATACCGAACCAGCGGAGAGGATCATGCACGTCAACTTTTGACTCGCTGTTCCCATCTGGAGATACACTGTCACCATGTTCGGTCTTGTTGTCTGGTGGAGCACTGTGGTCCCCTGGCACCGCTGTCTCTGGCTCGGGAGTGGGCGATGGCGAAAGAAGTTGAGTTGGCTCTTCTTTAAGCCTGTTTCCGGCACGCGAGGTTGCATCGATTGCCTCTCCCTCTTTTTCAGGCTTTGTTGAGTTTGAAGTCTCGTCGGTCGTGTTCTCTGACAACGTTTTGACGATTTGCAAGGCCTGGTGCTCGTCGTCTTCTACCACTCTGAATCTCAGGCTTGCGACGGCTCGGTCATCGTAGTAGTCCTGGCCATATCTTCTGCCCGCGGATTGAAAGTTGGCTTGAGTCAGCGAGAAGAAGCCGCTTGACAATTCCTTCTTTATCGTTTCCTGGGTGGAGGTGTATTCGTCCAAGAAGTGCAGATAGCGGGTCCATAGTGCGTCCATCTGGTCATGGAGAGCAGCCATTTCGGCAGTACGCGGCTTTGATTCATTCATGTTGTTGATATCTCTCGTCCCGATTTGGGATGTCGGCGCATCTAGTACCTTAGAGTGTTGCCTGCAAAAGGGTGAAGTTCATGGTCTGGTCGTCGGCAGCTCCCGGCCGAGCTTTTGCCGAGCCTCCGCATCATCCATGGATTCATCAATACCCTGACCTTTACTTCTCCCCAATACTGCTGTATATATCTGTATGCGCGATGTTTTCCTACCGCCCCCTAACCACCAGAATACCTACCGTCCGCCCGCTTCGCCCTCCTTCTCTGCTGCCAACGCGAGTGCCGAAACCGCGACTCTTCACCCAGAACTCTCAGCTCCTCCTCCTCGCCCAGCAACGATCCGCTCCTCGACCTCAATTGCCGTATCTCTCCCCGCCGATTCAGACACAGCAGCACCTTCATCCGCTCAATCAACATGTCATTCGTCTCTTCAGTACAGAGACGAAGCGCTACGTCAAGGAGCAGGTCTGGCTGGCCACAAAATGGACCGCCATCCTTTGGACCTTCATATTCTTCGGCTCAGTGCTGTGGTACGGTATCAGCATTGAGCTGGAAGAGCATGACAATCCGACACCTACAGAGTGGAAGTTCTTCACCCGACGCGCTCTGAGAGCTGCCCGGGCGCTTTCGTCGCGGGAGACCGCCGAGCAAGTTGGCTTTATCAACTGGCCCGCCGTCCACGCGCATTACAGGGAACTTCTCACCCGGCTGGAGAATCCGCACGGCGAGGGTAAAGGGCTCGTGGAAGGTGCGGGCGAGGGCGAGGAAATCATGATCGAGGGGGTCGGTCGTGCTGGATTCGACATCTCCGCCAAGAGCTGGCCGTGGAGGGCGGGCTACTTCGAAGCCATCATGGGCTGCGCTACGGCAGCCGAGCATCTTGATTCGATGGTTTTGGACAATTCGAGAGGCATTGTATTCCCAAGGGCCGTCATGATCGGGCCAAGCAATCCCGACCCCAGGCCCACGCCGCCTTACATGAAGACTGCGCCAAGAGAGGAGGATTGCACCAGGCCATGCGATCCGCCAGAGACATACTACATGCGGATACTCACTGGTCGGGGATTCACAACCAAGCAAAAGATGAAGGCTGCAAGCGCTTATGCGAATTGGTTGGAATTCAAAGGCTTGCGGGAAAGCGCGGAGGAGATGTACAAATGGGCCGTCGACATTGCCAAGGATGCGCTGGAAGTTGATCCTGAGCAAGTCCTGGATACGAAGTCTGGAGTTTTGAAACAGGCTGATGGGACTGCCTCGCACATAACCCCAAACCTGTTAAGGGCGACGACAGATTTGGCGACCTTCAAAGCTCGCTCCGGAGATGTCGCTGCCGCACTTCCCATCCTATTATCCGTATTGCGCGCCAGGAGGACGGCACCTGTTTCGCTCTTCCCGCCACCCTCACAGGTCGCTTCGGATGACTCTGGCTCTGGGGTCAGCAAAACCATATGGAAGATATTTTCAACCGCCAGGTTTCCCGACCCTCCTCCGTCGGGTGACAATTCGCTCATCCGCAGCACTGAAAAGCCCTCTTGTGAGGAGAGCGAGCTGATGTTATACATTGGCGAGATCCTCTTCGCGACCTCACCAAAATCTGACGAAGGACTAGGATGGACGAGACAAGCAGCGAACATCGCCGACATCAGCTTGGGGAACCGGGCGACACCTTCCTCCGATTTGGGTTCAGCGGAAGAGACAAAGAAGTGCAAGGAGTGTCTACTTACTGGCGTCAGCAACTGGGAAGCCATGCTCAATCGGCTGGCCTCACAGGAGCAGACATCCCCGAAGAAAGGGTGGTTCAACTGGGGAAGCACTAGCTCGACATCCGACCGTCTGGTGGAACTTGCGGATGATCAGAGAAGAGTTACTGTCTTGAAAGAGCGCATTGCCAGGGAGGGCATCTTGGCTGAAGTCAAAGGCCACAGTAACCCGTCTGGCATTTGGATTGGCTGAGTTGCATCCGGGTTGAGGTGTCCATTTCAGCCTCGTGAATATTCTCATATAACAACGACAAGCGTGGCTTCTACGCAGTGTGAAGTCGAGACCCACCCCTTGAGACGGCCCAATGCAGCCTCCAGATGCGACATAACTCAGGCTTCAACTAGGTAGACTATCCTGGCCAACTATTCTCGCATCACAAGCAGAACGATGTTGCACAAAGTCCAATCTAGCAACAGCATCCGTGCTTCCTTCCAACCCAGGTAGAGAAACTCCCCTCTCTCGACTATGTCTAAAAAGCACATAGAAGAGAGACGGGCTGACAGCAGCACGGCCTCAGGTATCTGTACATCATCTCCGCTCTCCCCTAATCACAGTCATTTTACAAGTCCCTTGTCAAGTGCATCGACATGCGCCTGTCCAACTATCTCACATTGGCTATGACCCTCTTCATTGCCGTTCGATCCAACGAAGTTAAGCCCAAACGTGATGGAAAGGTCAAAATCAGCATGCTTTCGAAAAGGGACCGCCCGAACGATCACGGCTGCCAACCTAGCAGAGGCGGCGACCGACGCCATGATGCAGCCGCCATGAGAACGTGTTGATCGGAAGGCTGTCATTTAGAATACGTTTTCTGCTGGATACTGGCCCTATCTTTGCGACTCAGAAGGAGCGGACTGTGTAGCGTGAGCTTCTCGGGGAGACTGTCTTGTTTCTGCACCAGGTGCTTCGTGTTGAATTCCAATTAGCACGTCGTCGGGCGTCAAGTGGACGCAAGTCGCCGGATTGAGTGACCCTATCGGTCGATATCTTCGAGCAGATGAAAGACTAGGAACGACATATAATGCCCATTGTGCCATCCTCACCTGCATCGAGGCTTTATGTGGGTCTTTGTATTCGTGAGAATCAGTCCTTGCAGGATGTTCAAATAAGAGGTGTCAGGCAAATGCTGGAAACGATTACGATCAAGTTGAGTGGGGTTCTGTTCTTTCTGGAGGAATGCACCTGCAACGCTTGGAGTCATCGCCTCTCCATGCATAGGCTCATCTCGAAAATTGGAGCTACCTTGGAAGCCCTCGCTACCTACTTTCATGGCATCCTCATACAACGAGTCCACCGCAAAGTCTAGGCTGCACAAGCTTTGCCAGAACCCGGAGACTGCTTCATGTCCTTCTCCCTCGCCTCCTCGCCTCTTTCGCTCTGCTCCAATTCGCCCCCATGCTTTCAAGCGCGTTCCACTTCACAACTAACTGAGCCTGACGCTTCTTCCCCAATGGTTATATCGGACAGACAAAGCACTCATTTCTCCTTCAGCTTCTCGCGCCATTCATCGCATGGCTTGTTCTGGTCGATTCCATCTGGAAGGATCCATCAGTTATCTGCCCGTGCTTCGGTCTACTTTCTCAATACCTTTCCAAACGTCGCACCCCCGAAGCGAGGTAAAAGAGGCATCAGATAGCTGTCTGCTCCACAAACCGAAGCGTGATACTACTTATCAGAAAACATTATGAGCATTTGTGGCTGCGTAGAAGGGAAGGGCATCGATAATATCTTCGTTAATCTACAATATCTATTGGACAAGTTAATCCAACGGAGTACCTGGGTTTCGAGCGGGCAAACGCCTAACCAGTAGGGCTCAGACAAGCCACGGCCAATCTTCGGCAAATTCACATGCTTCCGTCCACGTCCGATGCCGCAGCTGCACTCTGGTCATTTGCAAAGTCGACGACAGTGTCATCCTCCGGTTCTCTCAGAACGCGCCTCCCTCAAGTTCATCCTGAAGAACTTCCTCGTCCACGATCTATTCCCCGCTTGCCTGTGCCTTCTCTCAATCCTCATTCGTAGCCTTCACAATCCTGCTACCTGAAGTCGTATCCCGCTCGCTTTTGAAAGCACGAATGATCATGCACGTCATATCTACAGCATCACGCAACGTGTTTGCAGAAGCAAAGCAGTTGGAAGTATCGCGTGGAGCCTCGAGTGCGACATTGGCTGCCGTGAGACCCCAGCGAGGATTGAGATATCTCGATCGAAAGCAGTCACAACATCAAAGGTCTTGATAGCAAAGGAGATCTCGTGGTACACGCTCTACGTTCAGCCCATTGGAGTCGTTGCTAAAGGATCCCAGCTTGCATTCCTCTTTCTTGTAGCGGTGCAACTTCCAGTGCCAGTTTCGAGCGAGAACAGAGGGATTGTAAGCCTGTTTCGGTGTTAGTGAGGCACTGAAAGATGATTCTGGGACGAGCTTCCTAATCCGAGTGGGACTTCGTCCTGCCGAGCCCGTCCATCCATCTCCCCTCTTATTTGTGGACAGCTGTACTATCCAGATAGTGTTATTGACAGTTTACCAAACCGAAGAGAGGTTGTAGCACTTGTAGAAGCTTCCGCAGAACTTCGATCAAGTTATGGAGCTGTATTAAAGGAGGTAAATCCATGTGATGAGGTGAACACACGAGAAGGGAGCAGTCATGCAGTGCATGAGTACAGCGCTCTAGCGACCAGAGACGAGTTTGATCTCAGTCTTAGGTGAGATTTACAAAATCACTGGGCTGAGTTGTTGTGAAAGAACCTCTGGACACATGCTGCCGAGAAACTTGTTCAGATAATCTTTGTTGGTATCTCTTGCACTTCACTCGTCCAGAGCCATATCTTGTCCTTAAAGGCGTGCGTATGCGGTACTCCTGGGATTGTTATTCTCCACACGTGTATAGCGGGAGCCACTAGCGGAATATTTGTCCGAAGAGCATAAAAGGGTAGGAATCTCCGAAATAAAAGCTTCATTCGGCTGATCGCTATCAAGCATACTTCGCAACAACCTCTTCCAGCTCTTTCTGTGACAGCTCCTTGATCCCAAGCAACTCATTGTCGTTCTTCGCAGACCAGTCGCTGCCGAACTCCGGCCTGAAGACACTGGCTACAATGAAATGGAAATACGCGGTACCCACGTCCTCTCCCTTGCGCAACTTCTCATACGCCCCTTCCTCTAGCTGCTTGACGTCGACGTGGTTGGTCTCGGGTTGATAGCCAGGCTTGACCTTCTTCGCGATCTCCAACAACTCGTTCTGCGTCACGGATGCGCTCTGTACGTAGACGGCACGGTCTTTGGTCTCGTCGGGATGCTTCAAGATGCCGACGACTGCCTTGCCAACATCCGAGAGGAGAGTTGTGCTGAACTTGACATTTCCACCATCATAGAGGTTAGTTGGACCCTTGAGGTTGATATTGAGTCCAAGACCGAGGCCCCAGTCGAGGAACAGGCCGTTGACGACGTAGGTGTAGCTGATCTGGTCTTTCTTCGATTCGAGGTACTTTTGGGTCTTGGCTTTGCCAGCAAACACAGGGAGACTGGCGGTGGCGCTGTTACCAGCGATGTTGGAGCCGAACTCGGATCTTCGGATGGTATTAGCAGGCATTGCGGAGGATTAGATACGCTACCGGAAGGACTCACGGCAGGAAGCGTTTGACACCAGCAGCAATGGCAGCGTCGATAAGCACATCCTGCTGATCGTGCTTTGGTAGAAGAGACACTACGGCGTCGTGACCCTGGAGTGCGGAGACGAGGGAGTCTTGCGAGCCATAGTCGACTTTGACAGTCTTGACGTCGGATGGGAGGCCGTCGGTCTTGCCACTGCGGGAGATTGTCGTGACTTGGATGCCAGCGTTGACCAATTCTCGCACGACAGACGGGCCAAGGTTTCCGGTGGCTCCGGCGACTGCGACTTTGGGGTAAGCAGGCATTGTGATGGTGATACGCTGTGAGGGAAAAAGAAGCGTCGTCTAGTGAGGTTGGGTGTTGATTCGATGGAGAGAAGTCTTCCAAGAGGACATATATATCTTTCTCCGGCCTTGCCCCAGCTCCAAGCAAGGCAAGGTATCTGGCGTCTTCGGACATAGACAGACGTCTATCGTCGGCAGTAGAATGGAGCAGGGTGCGGCCAGGCATTGGCAGCAGGTGATTGGCTGACTCGATCCGAGAGGACAGATTCCGCGCTGCTTACGAACATGATGACAAGAAAGACGAACGATGGCGACATGGACGTGTCTAAGCCGCAGCGTCGTGTAGTAATCATGTAGAATGTCGTGCTCACGGGATGCGGATTCCGTGGGCGAGAAGCAGCTTCATATCTCCGTATCAAGCTTAGACCCTGATGTGATTGGTCACGGCAAGCGCAGGGCTCGCCGTCGTAACATGAGGAGGGGATGGTCAGTAGTAGTTAGTGCAGAGTGTTGTACGTTAATAATAATAATAATAATAATAATAATAATAATAATA